CAAGCGGCGCACTATCCAGTGCGCCACTGGGCCGGCCCCATTTATCATTCTTTTAAAATTGTTTTTATTATTTATCTTTCGGAGAATCCTAAAGAAACTTATGTTTAATAAATCTTTTAAAAAATCAGTTTAATATTTTTATTTTATCTGAGATTGATTCCATCTTCTGACTGCTGATTTTGTTGGATGCCTTTCTAGGTTTAGCTTTTTTCTTTTTAAAATTGTGCTTTGGAATTTTAGTCTGTAGATCTTGAGTGAGAAAGTTCCCTCTCTCTCCGTTTATCTCACACTGTCTCATGCCTTTTTATTTGCCTTCACCAGCGTCCATGGGACCCTAGTCGAAACTAGGTCTCATAATGGTGATTGGAAACTCCAGATATGAGGGCTACTACAGATTCAGGCACTGAGCTGAGCCACTGCAGTTTGGCTCAAGTATTTTTTATACAAACCACAGCCTCGGGGAACAGTTGGTAACACCTTTTATCTGTCACTGGCATGTGATTATGGTTGACCTGGTAAACTCAAAACATAGAATGTAAATTACAATCATGACCTGAAATTAAGGTGTAATTTCTCTAGGTTTTACATAAAAATCAACCAATGAATATTTATCAATAGCNAGCCACTAGAAATATTGTTAAAATGGGGAACATAAGAAGAGCCTCTACTGCTACCACTTTAATTAACCATGTTTCAATAGCTACAGCCTGCAATTAGACAAAAGAAATTAATGTTGTAAGAACTAAAAAGGAGGAGTAACATTATCATTATTTATAAATAATATAATTTTATACCTGGAAAAACTAAGAGAATAAAGTAAAAACTACTATAAATGATAAGCAAGGTGGCTAGGTACAAAATAAAACACAGAAATAACTTTCTCAGAAAAACATAAAGAAAAAATAAAAATAAATAACTTTCATATAAATAAATAATAACTAGTAGATATAAGGAAGAAAAGTTTTCATTTATCATCGTTAAGGGTGAACTGTTTTTCTTACCCAAACTCATATGTTAAAGCCCTAAACTCCCGGTACCTCAGAAAGTGACTATACTCGGAGGTACAGTCTTCAAAGGGTGTAATTAAGGTTAAATGAGGTCCTGTGGGTAGCCCTAATCCAATCTGTCTGGTGTCCTTTTAAGAAGAGGAAATTTGGACACACAGACACACACAGAGAAAAGACCACAGGAGGACAAAGCAAGAGGGCAGCCATCTGCAAGCCAAGGAGAAAGCCTCTGCAAGCACCTTCATCTTGGACTCCCAGCTTCCAGAACTGTGAGAAAAATTTGTTGAAGCCACCCAGTCTGTAGTATCTTTTTATGGTAGCCATAGCAAACTAATACAACTTCATAACAAAAGAGACAAAACACCTACAAATAATTTAATAAGAAAAATGAGTGATCTATTTGATGCTTTAAAACATACACACCTTAAAACCTGTTTTTGGCTAGAAAGAATCACTATCATAAAAATCAAGATTCTCCTTGATCTGGTCATTAAATTTAACATAATTTCAAAATTCCAATAAAAATACCAATGGAGTTATCTGAGAATTAGACAAGTTGATTCTACAGTTCATATGGAAAAACAAAAAAGCAAGAATAAAGAAGAAAATCCTAAAGGCTGGCCAGCTAGACAGCCAGTTAGATGCTCTAATCGATTAGAGCATGGTGCCGATAAAACCAAAGTCCAGGGTTTGATCCCCGTACCAGCCAGCTACTAAAAAAAAAAGGGGGGGGGGATCCTGAAACAGAAAAGAAATATATCATAAAACTGTAACAATTAAAACTGTGTAATACTGGGGTATAGACAGATAGTTTTAGTATTTAATATAAGTGGTATTTCAAACCATCCAGAAAAAAATTTATTCAATAAATGGATTCTAGGCAAGCATCTTGAAAAAAGGAGAGCTGAAGCCATACCACATTTTATACTTAGACGAATTCTTAGTAAATTAAAAATTCAAATGTAAAAAAATAATTAACAAAAAAGAAACCATAAACTTCTAAATGAGAGTTTTTATACTCTGGGGTGCAGTGGGGTAGGGTTAGGGGGACAGAGATGACTTTGTAACAATGACACAAAATCTAGAAGCCATCAAAATAAAGAGAGAAATGTGACTACATAAAACCCTACATTTCTGCATGGCCATAATTTCCATAACAATGGCCAAAAGAAAAATTTTAAAAGCTGGCATAACATTGTTGTAGATTGTACGGCAGAAAAAGGGGCTAATTTCATTAATGTATAAAGAAGTCCTGCAATTGAAGTCCAAAATCTAATGAAAAATGGGCAAAAGAAATGGACAGTTTGTAGAAATCAAAATACAAATATAAAAACTCAAACTCACAGTTCTATTTTTTAACCTATCAGGTAAGATCCAAAAGTCTAACAATATATTATTATACTAGCCAATGTGTGGAGAAATAGATACTCATATACTGGAGATGGGAATATAAATTCATAAACCCCTATAAAAGAGAGTTTGGTAATATCTATCAAAATTACACATTTTGACTAAGAAAATCTTTAAAATATTTATGCTACAAATATATTCATATATATGTGAAATAATATATGTACAAGTATTATTTACAATAGTAAAATATCAGAAAAAATATGATTTATCCAGTCAGTGGAATACTATGAAGGCGTAAAAAGATATTGAGGAAGCTTTTCTCTTTAGGTATTGATCTCCAAGACATATTGTTAAATGACAAAAGCAAGGTGAGGAAGTGTGTATGGCAGCTACTGTTTGAGTAAAAAAGAGAGGAAAAAAGAATATTCTTGCTTACATGTGCATAAACACCTCTGAAAGGATATACAAATTCCTTGTAACTATGGGAGGGTCACTGGGAAGCTGGGAAACACAGTAAGGACAGAAGGGAGACCTTTCCCAATACTTTAGCTAGGCTTCTGGATTTTGAACCATGTGAATATGAATATATTATCTATTTTTAAAATGTAAGGATTAAAAATAGGGAACTTAATGTTTTTAAAAGTATGAATATTCCAAATATAAAAATAAGTGCTGGGGAGGGTACCAGGAAACACCTTCATTGTTGGGGGGTAATATTATTGGTATAATCTTACTGGTAAACAATCTTAAAATACTTATCAAAAATTTAAATGTATAGAAATCACAGGTCAATGACGGGCTTGCTTAAGCAAATTATTACACATCCAAATAACCAGTTACTCAAAAATTATAATGTAAGCAAAAAAAGGAAGATACAGACAGTGGTATGCTGGTAAATGTTTAACAACTGGCTACCTGGGTGGACAGAAGCCCTGG